AGTATTTGAGCAATCCTTGCTGTCTCCCAGGGTCCTCATTAGTAGGAATCTGGAATTGGGAATAGAGCCAGGACCTGAACCCCCAGGTACTGCCAGGCCTAACATATGCCCCTAAAACATGGAATCTTTGTCTCATCGAACTTGTAGAAGTTTATCTTGTTACTGGTAGAGTTGTAGATTATATGTGTAGAAGGATTATTTGTTGAAGTATGCTTACAGTGGGAAATATTAGAAACAATATGTATGTACTCTTATAGACTACGACTTGAATAAATTACACTTATACAATGGAATACTATGTAGTCATTAAAAAGAGTAAGACAGCTCTTTATGTGTGGGTTTAGAATAATCTCTATGATAAAATGCTAATTGAGAAAAGCAGTTGCAGGATAGTCTGTAGATTGCCATTTCTGTAAAACAAAACCCACCAAAAGATTTCAGCACTAAATTCAAAATTGTTTTGGTAGTAGCACTCAGATGATACATAGAAATGGTTGTGTGTACGTGGCAGAGTGGGAGTGGATGATGAATTTGAAAGGTGAAGGTGAACTTAGGAATGACATAGTAGGTTTGGTTCCCCTTGTGACTGAAGAGTAGAAGAAGCTAGTTACTGAATACACAGAGTTGCAGAGTTGTAGTGAAAGGTTGACAGATTGCTTCTAAAGTATTTTACTTAGCAGATAACAGTTACATTCTGGAGTTGTCCATTGTGGTGAGAAAAGCCAAGGCTAGCAAGGTGGAAGGTTCAGAGCATGATGGGAACTCTTGATAAGTAGTTCTGCTTTCACTATGATTAACTTGGCTTGGGTTGATCTCATTACTGCCCTTTCCCAAAAGGAATTGTCAGGTAGTCTCCCACAATGCATTTCCCTGTAATTTAAATGTTAGAAAATGAAGATAAGTAGTGGAGAGTGAATTTTATATAAGTCAACTGAATTTTAGTGCCTAGTAGAAAAGTCATTGGGATTACCATGGGACCTATCAGTCAGCTGGCAATCCTTGGAGTGCTATTACATGTGAAGGCTGCAGTTAGGCACAAGTATATGCTCTGACCTCTACGAGCTTGTGGTCTAGTTGGGGAGGGTAACAAACTGTCAACTAATAATTCAAAGCATTATTTAGGTGCTAGAAGAATAATGCAAGCACAGATCAGAGGAGAGAGCTTGCTAGTCAGCTCAGGCTTCATGGAAGAAGGATTGGAGCTGAGGCTTGTAGAATTCAATCATAGGAAGAAGACTGGGGAAAACTTTGATAGAGATACAGTGCCTGAGCAAAGTTGTGAGAAGATGAGTCTGCATACAGCAGCTGGTGGAGGACTTGGAGGTTTATCCTGTCCAACAAGAGGGTTTGTGTAAAGGTACAATTGCAGAAATTGGGCTTCATCTTTTAGGCGGTGAAGAGGCATTGAGGGATCAGTAGGGGTACTCAGAGTGATTATTGAAACCTAAAGCGAGTGAGAATGGTGCAGTAGAGATGTGAGTTGGTTAGCCTTCAGTGGCAACTACATGGCTGTGGAGTCATGCGCTTTCTGCCTTGCCTCTTTTCTTCATAGTACCTTACCTTGCACCTTCAGACATGGCCCTTCACGGCCGCAGTGATGGCTGCCACTGCTCCAAGCAGCCCTCAGTCTAAACGGTAGCTGTTCTTGGCATTTGTCATCAAGAATGAAGACCTTTTACTGAATTACCTAGAAGAATTCTGGTTTGATTGGCCAGGATTGTGTTGTCGTATGTATATACCTAAACTGGTCACTGTTTCAAGAATGGAAATACCCTGATTATCTTAGGCTGGTGATCCTGAACTCATCTGTCAATGTAGGAATCATCTTGGGTGGTTTCTTTCTGTCTGTCTGTCTGTCTGTCTTTCTGTCTGTGGTTTACTTCCCAAATGGCTAGAATAGCCAGGGCTGGGCCAGGCTGAAGCCAGGCACCAGAAAGTCCATCTGGGTCCCCCATGTGGTGGCAGGGGCCCAAGCACTTGGGCCATCATTCGCTGCCTTATATTGGGAGATTTAAAAAACTGTGGAGTAGGCATTTGGCCTAGCAGTTAAGGTTCCCCTCATCCCAAATAAGAGTGCCTGGGTTCAGTACCTACCTCTGGCTTCCTACCAGTGCAGACTCTGGGACGCACTGGTGATGGCCCCAGGAATTGGGTTTCTGCTACCCACATGGGAGATCTGGATTGGGTTCCCAGCTTCTGACTTTTAAAACTGCCCAGCCCTGTCCCTCATGGGTGTTTGGGGAGTCAAGCCAGTAGATGGGTGCACACTTGCTCTCTCTTTGCTGATCAAATAAATAATTTTTTAAGAAGACTGTTATACCAGGTATTGATATCTGTTTAAAAAGATCATTAAGTGATTTATCTCTATAGCCAATATTAAAATTAGTAGCATATCCTAATCAGAATTCACCACCACCCCCAGGGCAGGGGGAAGGCTTCCTTCTCTTTGAAGATAAGAGAATAAACCTCGGAACAAAATTAAGAGATAGTAATAAAGGGGAGTGGACAATAAAAATGGAAAGCAGTGGGTAGGTGTGAAAACTGCTCTAAAGAGTTACAGAGCTCTGTAATATGGAGGACAGGAAAGGCAGAAATAACAACGTAAGATTTGAGCTTAGATGACGTGGAAGGCAACCGAGGCAGATGAAAAAAGCAAAAATTAAGTAAATTTTTATGTGCCCCACTCTAAAAGTGAGTTCCGGACTAGACTGATACTTTGAAAGATGGGTGATGGCGGAGAGGCAATAGATAGCATGGAGTACCTAGGCCCCTGCTCTGGAGTCACAGTGCCTGGTTTTATATCCTTTTCTGTCACTACTAGAACAAACTAGTTTATCTTTTGGCGTCTAACAAATGGGGGATATTAATAGTGGTTTCCTCTTTAGGATCTTGGAGAACGTGAGGAAATGTATGAGGTCTTCCGAACACAGTATGTGGCATGTGTGTTCTCACTATGTCATATTAGTTTTTTTTAAGATGCCACATAATAGCTTACATATCTCTGTTCTGTAGCTAAATGGGCCTATGAACAGACCCATCTACAAGCAGTGACTTTATTTACTGCATTTTTTTTGAGCCCCGCCTTTTTACTGGGCTGTATGTTGGCTCCAGGTAATACAAGGTACTTCAAAAAGTTTCGGACTGTCGTGGTGGTGTAGCGGATAAAGCCGATGCCTGCAGTGCCAGCATCCCATTTGGGTGCCGGTTCGAGTCCCGGCTGCTCCACTTCTGATCCAGCTCTCTGCTATGGCCTGGGAAAGCAGCACCAGATGGCCTAAGACCTTGGGCCCCTGCACCCACGTGGGAGACCCAGAAGAAGCTGCTGGCTCCTGGCTTCGCATCAGCGCAGCTCCAGCCGTTGCGGCCATCTGGGGAGTGAACCAGCAGATGGGAGACCTCTCTCTGTCTCTCTGTCTCTGTCTGTTTGCCTTTCAAATAAATAAAGAAATAAGTCTTTCACAAAACAGTTTGTGGTAAAAATGGAATTTAAATTTTATTTTGTGCAGACATTTTGAAATCCATGCGTTTCCTGTGAGCTTATTGAAGACCCTGTCTTACAGTGAAGTTCGCTCTACCTTCAAGGAATTTGTTTTATATAGAAATTTTCAATATAATGCGTTTCTTTTAACTTCTTAAGGTCATGAATAAGAATTTCCAGATTTGGGGCCTGGCATTTGTCTTAGTCGTTAAAATACTTTATGGAATTATCGCATTCCATGTTGGATCGCTTGTTCTAGTCCTGGCCGTGCTCACACTTGGAGCTTCCTGCTAACGTGCCACCTGGGAGGCAGCAGATGCCTACTCAAGTGATTGGATTGCCCCCATCCACATGGGAGACATGGAATGATTTCTTGGCTCTTGGCTTTGGTGTGGCCCATTCCCAGCTGTTCTGGGAGTTTCATAGTGAGCTAGCGGATGGGAGATCTCTCTGGCTCTCAAATATAGTCTAAAAATTAAAAAATAAATAAAACTTTTAAAAGAAGAAAAATGAGAATAAATAAATGAAATTTTATTAAGTTGCTAGAAATGTCAGATTTAAAAAGCTCTTTTAAAATTTTTTCCTTTGGCCGGTGCCGCAACTCACTAGGCTAATCCTCTGCCTGTGGTACAAGCACTCCGGGTTCTAGTTCCGGTCGGGGCACCGGATTCTGTCCCGGTTGCCCCTCTTCCAGGCCAGCTCTCTGCTGTGGCCAGGGAGTGCAGTGGAGGATGGCCCAAGTGCTTGGGCCCTGCACCTGCATGGAAGACCAGGAGGAGGCACCTGGCTTTGGATCAGCACAGTGCCAGCTGCAGCTGCCGTTTGGGGGGGTGAACCAGCGGAAGGAGGACCTTTCTCTCTCTCTCACTGTCTAACCTGCCTGTCAAAAAAAAATTTTTTTTCCTTAGCCATGCGGTTCTATTTAAATATTAGTATTGAAAATAGCTTGCCTTTTTTCCATATTATAAAGATTTTTTAAAAGATTTATTTATTTGAAAGTCAGTGAACAAGAGAGGTGTCAATGGATTGATCTTCCATCTGCTGGTTCACTCCCCAAATGGCCATAAACAGCCACGACTGTGCTGGGCTGAAGTCAGGAGCCAGGAGCCTCATCCTGGTCTCCCATGTGGGTGGCAGGGGCTTGAGCACTTGGACGATACTCCATTGCCTTCTTAGGTGCACTAGCAGGGAGCTGGATTGGAACTGGAGCAGCTGAGACTCAAGCATGGGATGCTGGTATTCTAGACAGTGGCTTGACCTGCTGTGCCACAATGCCAGGCCATATAAAGATACATGTTTATTATAGATAGACATCTGCTTGCATGTCTCTGGTTAAGAATCAGCAAAAAGGCAAACATCTTTAGATTACATTGATGTTATTTTGAGGGTTGTCTTTAGAAAACCTTCAAGAACTTTAAAGATATATGGAAATGGCAAAACACTGGGAAGTTACATACCTGTTTTTGTATTTAGGTTTTTTGTAGTTGTGTAATATATTAATCCTAACTATTGTTTCGTTTAGATTTTGATGCATACTAAAGAGATGGTACAGAAGGTAAGGCTTCATACTTTGATTATGTAACAACTCTCATATGTCATATCTGGTAATGTTTTTGTATTGAAGGGAAATTATAACCCAGACTGGAAATTGCTTCTTAAGATGCCTAGTTCACATTTATAATCCCTCCTAATGGATTACAGCTTTTTGCTTGTACCAACACTGATATGATCTAGCCCCTGCTTGAAGCCTATATGTGAGTGTTTCAAGCAAATTAGTAACAGTGCTAATTAGAGTTTATTTCCAGGCCTTTATACTATATCTGCTCTAATGTTGTTTATTATGATTGACTTTTTTGGCACTCGTATTCTATTAAATACTGTTTGAAACTGTTAAGAATTTAATATGGACTTGTGCCCCTGCATTTTTGAAATCCATCATGTTTCTGCTTCTTAAAATTGCCATAACCACCAAGCATGTGGTATAGTGGGTAAATATAGACCCCTGTTTCCTAGTCTCTTAGTCTCCTTTTTTTCATTATTCAATTCTGTATTTTGTTTCAGTTGAAACTGGATGCAATTTCCTTTCCACTCCACTCTGTATGTTTTGTGAAAATCTGGCAGATTTAAAAAAAAATGTGGTGCTCACCTTTCTGGTTTATAGGGGCTTGGTGTTCAGTTGTATACCCCAACCATACATATAATAATTAATACAAGCTTTTGAAAATTGTTTAGAACTTGTAATTACTGAAATATGAAAAATCTTTTGTGTCTAATGGCCACTGTGTTTTTGTTAATTTTGATAATTTTTGCTTCCCATTAGATGAATCTTGAAGTTATCTATGGAGATACAGATTCCATTATGATAAACACCAATAGCACCAATTTGGAAGAAGTATTTAAGCTGGGAAACAAGGTAAGATAATTTGATGAAATTATCTGTTTTACCTATTTTTGTTTTTAACATGGAACACCATAGTATATGTGCTTCTTAAGGTATAAACATGGCACTCTAAATTCTTAATTCTTTTTCTTAACCTCTTCTGTAGTTGTTTTGAGGGTAAAATTCAAAGGTGATTGTGTTTTCCTTAAATGATAGGCTCTCCCTTTGAAAACAGGCTAAGTGTTATAAGTTTATGACATTGTGGCAGGCTTTTAGCCTAGAAGATGTTTAAATCCCATATCAGAGTACCTGAATTCGAGCCCTGACTCCATTCCTAATTCCAACTTCCTGCTAATGTGTACCCTGGTAAGCAGCAGGTTATGGGTGATTTAAGTGTTTGGGTCCATGCCATCCACATGGGAGACCTGACTTATATATAGTTCCCAGCTCCTCACTTCTGTGTGGCCAACCCCTGGCCATTGCAAGCATTTGGGGGTGACCCAGCAAATGGGAGCTCTCTCACTCTTTCTGTCTCTCTGTTTCTCTCTCTCAAATTAAAAAAAAAAGATGTCACATTAGTGTTTACTGCATTGTCATATTTAGATGCAGTTTATGTATAAATACCTACATATATATGCAAATATTTTTTAAAAGATTTTATTTATTTATTTAAGAGGTAGAGTTAAAACAGAGAGAGGGAGAGACAGAGATAAAGGTCCTCCATCCACTTGTTCACTCCCCAAGTGACCACAATGGCCAGAGCTGGGCCAAGCCAAAGCCAGGAGCCAGGAGCTTCTTCCGGTTCTACCATGTGGGCGCAGGGGCCCAGAGACTTGGGTCATCTTCCACTGCTTTCCCAGGCCATAAGCAGGGGGCTGGATCGAAAGAGGAACAGCTGGGAAACAAACTGGCGCCCACATGGCATGCCACTGCCTCAACCCCGGGCTTTAACCCATTGTGCCATAGTGCTGGCCCCCTGTCTATAATTTTTACGTGAGTACCTAAAATATATTTGAAAAGGCAAGGGGTCGATCATAAATAATCATTTGTAACCTTGTCACAGCAATTCATGATTAACAAGTGTTTCTTGAGCACTTGTTGTGTTAAGATGTTGTCCCAATTAACTAAAATTAAGGTATTGTTAAAGATAAGATCAACTTCTTATCTTTCTTTGCTGGGATGTGTAACATTTGAAGTGTAATGTTCACTTGAGAATAAGCCTGGTATATTGTGGTCATACTGAGCCTTGTAAATCTGTAGATTTTCCCTAGAGACAGTGGTTTGTGCCTTGACCCTGTCAGTACAAAACAGGAGACTTCATTTATTTGTTCAGTATGTGTTAATTTGCTTAGAGTCAAGGTGCTAAGGGCGATCTTAGACATTACTAACAATGAGTTACTCATTTATTTCTGACTACATATCTACTTGTTGTATTTGCTAATCATTAAGTAATTCAGTGGTTTTAAGGCAAATACGTATGTGTAAATCTTTAGATTCAAGACTGTTTCATCATTATCCGTAATTTTCATACATTTCCTGGGGCTGATCCAGCCAATCTTGTCTTTTGTTTCAGTGAGATGGTATATCTATATTCTTGCCTATTTTTTAAAATCTGTTTTCTGTGTTTGTGGTTTTGAATATTTTTTGTATTGTAACAAAGTAATATGATATTACATGTAAATAAACTGAGTAAGTCCTGTATGACTTCAAGTTCTCTATAGATGAACTCTCGGGGATTAGTAACATGTTCATTTCTTCTTGTTAGATGTTTGAGAGGCTCATTTTAATGTTTGAAATTTTCACAGATAAAAAACGAAGTCAATAAGTTGTATAAGCTGCTTGAAATCGACATTGATGGTGTATTCAAGTCACTGCTACTGCTGAAGAAAAAGAAATACGCAGCTCTGGTTGTTGAACCAACATCGGATGGGAATTACATTACCAAACAGGAGCTGAAAGGGTTGGATATAGTTAGGAGAGATTGGTGTGATCTTGCTAAAGACACTGGAAAGTGAGTTCAGCTTTCAGTTTTGTTTTGTGGTATACCTTTTTGAAATTCTAGTGTTAATGACATGGAGAATGCTTACAAGCCTACCAACCACAAGGACACTTCATTTTTATTATTTTTATTATTATCATGTATTAACAGTTCTCACTTGATTGAAGTGGTATTTTACGGGTAGATTAAAACATGAGAAAAGCCATATTTTCTCAGTAAGAAATGCTTATTGTAAGATACATCTTCACATTTAGATCTTTACTTAGTTGGCTTTGTCAAAGTTGGTTTATTTTGCTTAAATTTTAATCAAGAAGTTCTGTGAGAATGCTTGATGTAGTTTGACAGTCTTTGCGTTCTTTCATGAAAACGCAGTATATTTCTGAACATTTTTCTCTGCTTTATCTATTTTTTAAAGATTTATTTATTTGAGAGGCAGAATTTACAGAAAGAGGGGGGGGAGAGAGTGAGAGAGATCTTTGATCCGTTGGTTCACTGCCCAAATGGCCAGAATGGCCTGAGCTGGGCCAAGCCAAAGCCAGGAACCAGGAGCTTCATCAGGGTCTCCCATGTGGTTGCAGGGGCCTAAGGACTTTGGCCATCTTCATCACTTTCCTAGGTGCATCTGCAGGGAGCTAGATCAGAAGTGGAGCAGCCAGGTCTTAAAGTAGCACCCATATGGGATGCTGGTGTCATAGGTGGCGGTTTTACCCGCTACACCACAACACTGAACCCTATTTTACTTTAATTTTCATATTAGGAAATGCATTGTTGTGTGTTTCTGAGTCTTCTAGGGCCTCTTTAGTTAAATGTTCATGATTCAAAGATGGCCAAGGTGTAAGACTTTTGTTTTTACCCATATCATTTGTGTGTAAAAATTCTTACAAATCTCAGGTTAATTTAAGAACTAGTTCTCAAATACTGTATGTACCTCAGAAATAATAAATGTCATGATCTTAGCTTTGACCTGAGAGTGAAAATTGTCTTAATAAGATTCCTTTTTTGTTCGGGTCATATTAATGTATAAAACACCCGTTTGAAAAAAAAAAAAGAATCTTTAGGCACTTTATGCACCATGTTTCAAATACTGATATTTTGTGAGAAAGTAGCATCTTTTTCTTTAAGGCTAAATTGGAAATTAATTTTCATGCTGCTCAGTTACAGCATTTTAAAACTTACTTTCCAGTCTTCCTCCTGCTTTCAAGTTGTGAGATTGAGCAATTGTTGCTTTCGCAAAACTACTCTTGATTAGGCAGAGTTGATCATCTGAGTATAGGTCACTGTTAGCCTTTTATGAGATGTAGTTTGAAATGCTTCATTGCCCCCAAATGTACCCAAAGATGAAACTGCTTTGTATAGACTGTCGATTAGAGTGGTCTCTTCAGCTTTGTGTTTTCTAAGAAAAGATGCATCATAATAGAAGTAAATTTCTCTGAGTTAGAAATGTATTAGTAATTAAAGCTATACAAATGTTTTTGTCAGGGTTCTTTTTCTGACAAATTATAATGCAGCTGTCAAATCCTTGCTCCGCATTTTCTCAGAAATGGATAAAATATTGGCTTTCTTAATCTTTTTTCCTTTGGGTCTGGTATAATAGCTGAAGTTTTGAGGAACAGCGTAAGATTGGAGAACACTGAGCAGTTTATAATGATGCTGAAAAAAAAAGTTTGAAATCTTTTTTTTTTTTTAATTTTCCTAGAGAACTTTGTGTTTCTGCTCACCTCCCTAATGGTCATCTCATCTCAGTTGCAGATGATACTTTGGTGATACCAGAGAGAATTAGTGCTTTATGAGGACAGTGAAATCTTGGTCTTTTAAAATTTTAAGTTACGGGTAAAATATACCTGCTTGTTACTTTTGTATAGAAAGCATATTTCTTTCCATTGCACTTTGTGTGAAGCAGTAGCTGCCACATAAAATAATGTTTAGTATGTTTAAGGAAAAGCCTGAGAACTGAGGTTGGTAAACCTTTGATAGAATTATAAGTAGTCACTGCCTTTTGAACATTAACCCTCATATTAGCTTTTAGTGTAATCCAAATGTTGATCTAATGACATTTTTCTTTTCTCATCTTTATTAATACAGTATGAATTTAATCTCTCTCTCTCCCTCTCCCTCTATCTCTCTTTATTTTTTTAGCTTTGTCATTGGCCAGATTCTCTCTGATCAAAGCCGGGACACGATAGTCGAAAACATTCAGAAGAGGTTAATAGAAATTGGAGAAAATGTGCTAAATGGCAGTGTCCCAGTGAACCAGTTTGAGATTAACAAGGTAAATGTAGCATGTATTGCTGAACCCAGCTGCTGTCTTGTGTTTTTCTCCTCCTTCGGATAGTTGAAGAACCACCTCATCCTTGCAACTGAAACCAATTCTAGCTGGTGATGAAAGCTGTTTAGCACCCATCTCGCAGACTGAGCATCAGCCCATCTCTGCCAGCCATAGGTGCTGCTGGGCTACCCTGGAGGCCTTCTCTCTCTATGCCAAACTTTCCTGGAAACCTTGCTTCTGGAAGTCCTGTGGAGTTACATAGTTTATGCATAGGTCACTAGAGAGTACTGCCTTCTTTGTTGTCTTCTTATGTAATACTTGTTTGGGGTGTAGGTTTTGAAGTTTGTGTGTGTGTGTGTAAAACTTCATAGATGGTCATGCTTATACATACTATCAGGTACACATGGTGATCCCTATGGGTGCTATCATCAGAAGGCTTCTTGGGACAGAAGTGGTGGTAACATTTTCTGTATATTCAAAGCATTTGTGTTTTTTTTTTTTTCTAAGTTGCACTTTATAGACAGTTTTCCTTGTTGAAAATAGAGATTATTTTTTCTTACCTAATTTGGAAAATAAGATCTTGATTCCTGAAGTGCTTTGTAGTAAGCAAGATCTTGTATATTTTTTTGCATTTAAAAAGTGTACCCTTAACATATTCAGAAGCTAATTTTGCAAATATTTTTCTATCTGTTTTGTGATAGATTTCGTTGTCAAAGCTAATACAGAAAAAAATTTTTAATGAAAAAGAATCTAAGCATGACATTAAATGGAAATTTTGGAATGAAACTCATAATACTCCCATGCTAAAGTAATGCTTGTCAGTTTTAGGTATTTCTTTACTCTTGAAAACATTTTTATATTGCAGCAATTACAATTTATATTAGAGACCTATTTTTACTTAACATAAACATTTTCCTACATTTCTATCACTGTTACAATCAAATTAGCCAATGTCTTAATTTTATATTTCACTAATATATCTTTAGTATTTTGTTTATTGATTCATTCAAGTTTTTATTTTTGTTATTGCAAATGACTGTATTGAGCATCCTTTGGCTTTTGGATGAATTACTCATTTTAGGTTTTTTTAAGTAAAATATTTGAGTCAGAAGATATAAGTACCTATTTGGCTCTTGCTAAATTGTTTTGTTAAAGGTGACACAAATTGATAACAGCAAAATGTTTGTGCCAGTTTTACCACAGCTTTGCTTGTAGTTGTGTTGATTTTTTTTTAAAGATTTGTTTTTTATTTGAAAGTCACAGTTAACAGAGAGAGGAGTATTCCATCCACTGGTTCGCTCCCCAAGTGGCCACAACAACTGATGCAGAGCCAGGTTGAAGTCAGGAGCTCGGAGCTTCTTCTGGGTCTCCTACGTGGGTGGCAGAGGGCCAAGCACTTGGGTCATCTTCCAGTGCTTTGCCGGCACAATAGCAGAGAGCTGGATCAGAAGTGGAGCAGCTAGGACACGAACCAGCACCCACATGGGATGACGGCATAGTAGGTGGCGGCTTTACTTGTTAGCCCACAGTGCCGGCCCCTTTGGTGATATTTTAAATAAAATGTTGGTACCATAATTGATGTGAACCTGTATTTTGCAGTTAGATTTAATTTCTATTTCTTTAGCTTCTAGAGAGAATGAAGATTTTCTTTGCATATGCTTAAAATTTGTATTTATTCTTAGGTAAATTTTTTGTTTTTTACACCTTGACTATGATATCTTCAATGTCACACAAAAAGACATTTATAATTTACAACAGAATGTGTGTTTCGGCACTTGCTCATCACTTTAAGTGATCCAGGTATATACATGCTGACATTGGATCATTTGTGTCATCTGGAAAGTAGTTTCTTTTTAGACTTTGTTTTATTAAAAATTTGCGTAAGAATGTTAACTTCAGTCTTCTTTTGGTTAATTTTGGCATCGATTCTGTCACTGTTAGTGTCTTCCTTCCTAGAAATATAACGCTTTATTACAAGAGGTTCCAGGGATTAGTTTGGAAGGCTAAGTACAAACATCACATTTTTTGGCAAAAATAAGACTGAGCAGACATCCTATGCAGTAGTGGAACCACATTGTTATCCTTTCATATGCATAATGGCACACTATTACTAGTGTGCAAGGAGAAACCTAGAATGGTAGACACACTTGTAATCTTCTGCATAGTCTTTTATTTTTACCTCTGGGTTGTTGAAATTTCCAAACTTATCATAAATCCAAAGTGTCCATCACTGAGTTTCAGTAATTATTTTACATACTTAATAATACATACTTAGAGCTATGTATTATTATTAATAAGACTTAGTGTCTAGTGTGATGAGGGTGGTGCATGTATTTTTCGTGACAGAACTGAAAACTGATTTAATGCCTTTATATACTGTATATCACTTAGCAGAGTTTCTGGCAAATAATTTTTTTTAGTGAGCATTGAAAGAATTAATTAATCATCTATTCAGCAGACATGGTATATCTCTTATATGCACAGTGCTAGATCCTTGGATGTAAAGTTGAATATGGAAAATGTGCTTCATGTTTTTAAGATGCTAATGGTCTGCTGAAGGTTTTACTCTTCTATATTCTTAGGTTTTTTATAAAGAAGAATTCTTGCATCATTGATTTAAGTACAGCAAATTCTAATGAAAGGAACCATCTATAGCATGTTTGTAGTTCTCTGTTGACAGATATTTTCATATTTTTAACACTTGTTTGAGTACTTGCATTACTTAGAACTTGTGAACAATTCAGTGTTTAGATTTTACTGGTTTCAAAAGAGAGTGGTATTAAGAGAGAGTCTATGTAGGAGTCAGCATTGTGGTACAATGTGCTAAGTGACACTTGTAATGCTGGCATCCCATTTTGGAGTGCTGATTTGAGTCCCATTACTCCACTTCCAATCTAACTTCCTGTTAACGATACCTGGGAAGGCAGTGGAAAATGGCCCAAGAGCTTGGGCTGTTGCTACCCACATGGGAGACCCAGATGGAGTTCCTGGCTCCTAGCACATGTGCACTTGATATGTGTGTGTGTGTGTGTGTGTGTGTGTGTTTCCTTTTTTCCCTGTCACTCTTTTAAATGAAGATCTTTTTATTTAAAGAAAAATCTCTGTATTTGGCTGGTTGTAGGTTATCTCATGACAGGATGGGATTTTTGCCTTTATTTATTTATTTTTTTTTAGATGATGCTGGTAGGTCTTGAAAAAGATAAGTTGGAGGCAGATGTTTAATCTTGCACTTAAGATACCAACTAGGACGCCTGTATCCCACTTTGGAGTACTTGGGTGTGATATCTGACTCTGGTGATTCCACCTTCCTGCCACTGCAGACATGGGGAAGCAGCAGTGATGGCTCAAGCAATTGGGTTTCTGCCAGCCTCTTGAGAGATCTGAATTGAATTCTTATCTCCTGGGTTTGGCCTCAGTTCAGCCCTGGTAATTGTTTGGCATTGAGAGAATGAACCAGTGGATGGGAACTTTCTCTGCCTCTGACTTTGTCTATCTCTTTCTCTGTCTCTATTTCTTTTAAAAAAAGAAAATAAAGAAAATGAGAAGTCAGATTAGGGTAGAGGCATGGATGAAAATATAAGATTTACTTTTAGAGAGATTTTTAGCCCTTGCTGCCAAAAGCAACTGAAAAACAGTATACATGATTTTTTGCTTATTTATATTTTATGAAATAACACAAAATACTTCACAGCTGATTTTTATAGCTTTAACTAATTTGAGCTTAAACCAAAGGAAGTATTTTATTTTTTTATTTTATTTTATTTTTTTTTTACTGAGGCCTTCTAAAAGCAGCTTGTAAAGTCCTCAGATAGTTTCAATCTAGTAATTGGAAAGTTTGTCAGTGAAATTCAGAATTTGCACTGAAGAATAGTTGACTGAAGAAGGTAATGATTTTCTTAAGTACAGTTCTATCAATTAAGATTTCTATACAGTATGCCTCCCTGCAAGTCAATTAGGAGCACATAATCCAGGTTTGAGGAGATTCCAATACTTGGAGAGTCTCCTTGGCATTCTTCTGTACTACATAGGATACAGAAGTGCTGGTAACTTGGGCAGGTATGGGTGTGTGTGAGCACCAGCCTGACTCTTTGTGGCAGTTCTCCTATTTCTTAGTGTCAGAGCGCCTTTACACTCTTTCATAGTAATTGAAGACTCTCTAAGAGCTTTAATATGCAGATAATGTTGAGTTTTAGTATGCTAGAAATTAAAAAGAACTTACTTAAAAATAGCATGAACTCATTTGATTACAAAAATAACGTTTTTTTCATGAAAAGTATTCCCAAACCAAGAAAAATTTGCCAAAGGAATGCCATCATTTTATAGTTATACATAATTCTTTAATATCTCATTGAATAGAAGACATCTGAATTTTTTGTCTGCTTTATTTTTCTTTTTTTGTCTGCTTTTGCTTGCAGTCTGTTACATGTTTTTGGTTGGAGTGTACAGAGAAAATCTAGTTTTATATAAACATAGAAACATTTTAATAATTTTTTCTGATGGTTATATATTCCTTGATTCTACATTAAAACTCACAGTTGATGCTTTCTTAAATGCTTTTGTAATATAAAATCTGAGTCTATGTCAATGAACTTTTCATACTGTCTTATTAAAAATATTGGTCTATAATTTACTTTGAATGAATATTTTGTCCATGAATAACATTATGAATTGGTCATTTGTTCAGTGTTGGTTCTCTGAATTATACAGATCTTCCAAAATGGACACATTTCATTGTTTACTCATAACAATCATATTCTTTTTTTAAACTTTTATTTAATAAATATAAATTTCCAAAGTACAACTTTTGGATTATAGCGGCTTTTCCCCCCATAACCTCCCTCCACCCGCAACCATCCCATCTCCCACTCCCTCTCCCATCCCATTCACATCAAGATTCATTTTCAATTATCTTCATATACAGATCAATCAAGTATATACTAAGTAAAGACAACAAATATTCTAAAATACTCTTTATAAAAGTTTATATGTATTGGGAAACTCTTAAGCTCACAAACTTGAAAACAGGCTTTCCAAAATTGTATTTTTGTGATAGAATGGATGAATTTTATCATTGACAATATACTGCCGGATTTTTTCCCCCCTTAAAGCGGCGGGCTCACTTGGTTCTTTCTTGAGAAATTGTCTGCCAAATATCTAAGTCAGAATAATTGTTGGTTTATCAGTAGTTTTTTTTCTTTTTAAAATATTTTGCAATTTATTTTTGTTTATTCGAAAGAGAAAGACAGAAGGAGATCTTCCATCGGCGGGTTTACTCCCGAATGCCCACCACATCTGGGCTGGGCCAGGAGGAAGTCAGGAGCTGGGAACTCATTGTGGGTTTCCCGCATGGGTAGTGGAGCCATCACTTGCTGCCCCCCAGGGTGCACAATAGCAGGAAGCTGGAATTGAAAGTGAAGCCAGGATTGAACCAAGGCATCTGTGAGCATCTCATATGGCAGCTTAATTGTTGTGGCAGACACCTGCCCCTACCTATAATTTTAGCAAGTAGAAACTACATTCTGTGAAAAAGCCAACTGGTTTAGCCTGCAAGTCAAACAATTGCCCAATTGCTTTTCCTTGAGCAGCTTTCATTCTATTCATTTCAATCATTCGCTATTCCTTATGTGTAATTTCTGTTTCATTATACAAAATATTAGACTTTACTCAAAGATTAAGAACTTAAAATTAATTTTTACTGCTTCATCAAGGACACTCTTAAGTGAAAGTGATTTTTATTTTTGAACTGTATTGGTAAAACAGACAGTGACTATTAGTACAGTTGGGTGCCATTGCTCTGATTCATGTTTATGAGACACTAGCAGTTTTCCCCACCATTGTTCCTCCGTCATCAGCACAAGCAGTATAGTAATGAAAGTAGTTTTGGTCTTGAGACCCCCTGAAAAATCATCGTGAATCCCAAGGGATCTGTGGATCACGCTTTGAGAACATGTGAATTTTTTTGCCTTGCAGTACCCTTGTCTCATTCTTCCTCTGAACATTAGGTATTCTATAGTCCTTTTTTTTATGTCCAAGTATTATGTGACATGATCCATAAACATATTTCATTTTTGTTAGGATTGTATGTGAATATGTTAGCTACTAAACGAAGGAGAAATGGTCATTGAGAATGAAATGTTTATTTTGTGGTGGGGCTTTCTCAATACAACTTGTGCTGTCTTTGTGTGGCTAGTATGATTCTAGCAAAGATGTAGTTAGTGTAATCTGTGTGCAAAGGATTTTTTTAATGTTTCAGGCTATTTTGTTTTTCTCTTTTAGGCATTAACAAAGGACCCCCAGGATTACCCTGATAAGAAAAGCCTACCCCATGTACATGTTGCACTCTGGATAAATTCTCAAGGTGGCAGAAAGGTGAAAGCTGGAGATACTGTTTCCTATGTCATCTGTCAGGTAAAACTATCAGAATTAATAAGACTTTCATACCACTTAACAACCCGGATTAGGGGACCCACATTGTGACATGGCGGATGACGCTGCCTCCTGGGATGCCAGCATCCCATATGGGTGTTTGATTTTGGTTGCACCACTTCCCATCCAACTCCTTGCTAAATGATCTGGTTAAAACAGCAGAGGATGGCCTGGGTGCTTGGGCCCTGCTACCCATGTGGGAGACCCAGAAGAGGCTCTTGGGGTCCTGGCCCTGCCCCGGGTGTTATGGCCATCTAGAGGTGAACCAAGTAACTGAGGATCTCTCTTTATTTCTGTCTCTCCCTCTCTGTAACTCTGACTTTCAAATAAATAAATGAATCTTAAAAAACCAGAGTAAAATCCAGATTGCCACAATATCACATTTCATGGCTTTGTGAATAATTGATGCTGCAAAGAGATGATTTTAGTCTAGTTAGTTTGAAAGCATCTAAAAAATATTAGCAGTATGTCATATTTTACCATAATTTTCATTGAACAGTTTGTTTTGGTTTACTGAGATTATTTTGGTGAGACAGCTTTATAACTTTAGCTAAGATTTCAATCCTAAGTTACTTTTCGTGAAAATGTGGGCAAATTTGGTTATATGTCTAATGGAAGTCTTTTATCATTGCTTTTTAAAAAAAAAAAAAGATTTATTTATTTATTTGAAAGTCAGAGTTACACACAGAGAGAAAGAGAGATCTTCCATCTGCTGCTTTTTTCCCCAATTGGCTGCAATGGCCAGAGGTGCACCAATCCAAAGCCAGGAGCCAGAAGCCAGGAGCTTCCTCTGGGTCTCCCATGCTGTTGTAGGAGCCCAAGCACTTGGGCCATCTTCTGCTGCTTTCCCAGGCCACAGCAGAGAGCTGGATCAGAAGAGGAGCAGCTGGAGATGCTGGCACTGCAGGCAGCGGCTTTACCCTCTACACCGCAGCACCCCGGTGTCCATATAGGATGCTGATGCTGCAGGTGGTGTCTTTACCTGGTACGCCACAGCGCTGGTCTCTACAACCATTTTCATTATGAGTTTTACTGGAATTATCAGAGAACAAATGCATTTTTTCCTAGTCTGTGTTTAAATATTTACTTCAAAAAATGTAAAATGCATGAGTAGATGGAGCAGGTTGAGAGATCCTAAAAATACAAGTTTAGGAAGAAAACACAACTGATCTAACCAGCTTCCATATTTTTTTTCTGGAGTCGAGAAGGTCCACCTTGCCATCTCCCTGTTTTGAAAGGTACCTCTAAGGAGCTTCTGTGCCTTATGCAGTACAGTTTTAAACCACTAACTGGTGATGGGAAACAGGGTAGGACAAAAGAGTATGTTTTTTCTCAGTGGAGGCATTTAATTCCAGTTGGAACAAAGAAGAGGTCTTGTTTTTTTTCCTATTTAAAAAAAAAATCAAAGCCTCCATCCAAACTCTTTAAAATGGTATGTTCTGTTCACTGCAAGGGAAAATTCACCTGTTTAAAACTGTTTCTTTTAAATTACTGTGAAGTCTTTTATCCTAATTTTATTATGTTATTATAGTAAAAAATCGTAGGTAGGGGCTGGTACTGTGGCTTAGTATGTTACGCCTCCACCAGTGGTGCCGGCATCCCATATGCGCACTGGTTCAAGGTCTGGCTGCTCCACTTCTCATCTGGCTCTCTGCTATGACCTGGGAGAGCAATGGAAGAGGGCCCAAGTCCTTGGGCTCCTGCACCTGTGTGGGAGACCCGGAGGAAGCTTCTGGCTCTTGGCTTTGGATTGGCCCAGTCCCAGCCGTTACGGCCACCTGGGAAGTGAACCAGTAGGTGGAAGACCTCTCTCTCTGTCTTTCCCTCTCTCTCTAACTCTACCTCTCAAATCAATAAATACATCTTTTTTAAAAAAATTGTACATAGGGGCCGGCATTGTGTTGCAGCATTTTAAACCACTGTCTGTAATGCTGGCATCTGTTACGGGTGCCTTATGTGTTCAGTTCCCAGCTGCTCCATTTCTGATCTACCTCTCTGCTAGTGTGCCTCAGAAAACAGTGGCCCCTGCCATCCATGGGGGAGACCTGAACGAAGCTCCTGACTTTAGCCTGATCCAGCCCGGGCAATTGGCAGCCATCTGAAAAGTGATCCAAGATCTCTTCTTCTCTCTCTGTCTCTCCGTCTTTGTCTCTAACTTTACCTTTCAAATAGATAAATAAGTCTTTTTAAAAATCGTAGGTAAACCTTAAAATTCATTGCATTTTGATCTCTATCAAACTACAATCAACATTCTTTTAAAGCATAGCTTTTTAAAAATTTAAACGTAGTTGCAATAACTGCTGCAAACTGTAGATGATGTACGTCAAGAAATTATTAAAGTACATGGACAGGAATCAGCACTTGACTCTATCTCCCTCCTAGGGTTACCCTTGATTAAGAACTGTTACAGAAAGCCAATTCCTGCAGGAAAATATTTCCATAAATGCCTGACTCGCTGAAGCCCTTAATGTGCTTTGCATATTGCCTCTGACAAGTCTCATCTCAAAAAAACAATTTTCATATTATGCAAATAAAGATTTTGGTAAATAGCCTAGGTTTTTTTTTTTTAAACTTACATCTTCACATACATGAAAAGCTCTTAGATTCTTAATGACAGGAGCAGATGGCAGCACACAACTTTGAAAAATGCAGTGAAATGACATAATGAAGTCAAGCCACAATTATGTTTTGGCTAAACCAGGAATGGTGAAGTATGGTAACTTATACAGGAGAGTGACCAATATATTTAGCAGTCAAGCTTATGTTCCTTGTTGTCTAAATAGTAGATCTTATGATTTCTTATTAATTTTATTGCTAAAGACTCAATGCAGATACTGTTGTATTGCTGTAAATCCATTTGGATGTATTTTCAGCATTTTTGCATCCACTGGGTACTGTACCTTATTTAGTTTTTTTTAAAGATTGTATTTATTGATTTTATTTGAGAGGTAGAGTTACAGTGTTACAGAGACACAGAGAGAAAGGTCCTCCATCTGCTGGTTCACTCTCCAAATGGCTGCAACCACTGGAACTGCTCCAATCTGGGGCCAGGAGCCAGGCACTTTCTCCCGATCTCCTACGTGGGTACTGGGGCCCAAGGATCTGGGCCATCTTCCACTACTCTCCCAGGCCATAGCAGAGAGCTGGATTGGAAGTGGAACAATTGGGACTAGAACTGGCGCCCATATGGGATGCCGGTGCTGCAGGCGGAGGATTAACCTACTGCACCACGGTGCCGGCCCCCTTATTTGCTTTTTAAAAGTATAGTTCATGGGGCCCAGTGTTGTGGCTTGGTTGTTAAAGCTACTGCCTGTGATGCTGCCATCCCATATGGGTACAGGTTTGTGTCCCAGGTGTTCCATTTCCAATGCAGGTCCCAGCTAATGGCCAGGGAAAAGCAGCAGAAGATAAAACAAGTGCTTGGGAACCCTGTACCTATGAGAGTGACCTGGATGAAGCTTTTGGCTCCTGGCTTTAGCCTGGCCCAGCTCTGTCCATTCTGGCCATATAGGGAGTGAACCAGCAGATGAAGATCTCTGTTTCTTACCCTGTCTCTGTAACTCTGCCTTTCACTTAAATAAATCTTCAACAAAAACAGAAGTATAGTTCATGTTTCTTCTTATGTTTTTTAAGGCTTATTTATTTATTTGAAAGGCAGAATTACAGAAAGGCAGAGGAGAGGAAGAGAGAGAGAGAGATCCTCCATCCGTTGGTTTACTCCCCAAATGGCCACAGCAACAGCAGAAGCTACGCCAGTTTGGAGCCAGGAGCCTCTGGGTCTCCCATGCATGTTCAGTGGCCAAAGGACTTGGGCCATCCTCCACTGCTTTCCCAGGCCATAGCAGAGAGCCGGATCAGGAGTGGAGCAACCAGGACTTGAACAGGCGGCCATATGGGATACCAGCCCTGCAGGTGGCGGCTTTACCCATGCCACAGTGTCTGCCCCCATGTTTCTTTTTATTAAGTTGTTTTCCTTAACATATCCCAAAAAGGGTTGAAGAGGTTTGATTTGCCTTTGTCCCTTAGTATTGGGGTGTGCCATGTTTCGGCATGCTTGGAAACTTCTTTTGCTTGTAAACCCTTCATTATCCTTTTCATGTTTCACAGTACAGCCATATTTTTAGAATGTCTTTTTGAAAACATGTCATAATGCATTTTTAAGAGAACTGTTTATTGACCTAAGCAGAGGTGGCCTCCAAGGAATATGCAGGTACTTTTAAAAATGAAATTAAAAGATAAATTTGTTTTGGTGCCAAAAAATTTTGAGATCCATGCATAGTTTTTTCATAACACATTTTCTCTGAATCTTTTGAAGACCCCTTGCAGCCTATCTCCTAAACAGATTCTATTTTGCTTAAAATTTATGTTTATAATATAGTACCCTACTGAGAACTTATTCAGACTACAAATTTAGATGAGTTCAGAGAGTATTTTTCATATTTAATTTATATTGTAGTTTGTGCTCTTGTTAAACCTATGTGAATTGTTTGCTCAGATACCAAATCAGCTTCTGTTTATTGGCTGTTATAACTATTTTTTAACTTTCACTAGATATAGTTTACATAAGCCAATAGTAGGGAACTTTTTTCCTGCCAAGGACAATTTGGATATTTATAGCATCACTCATGGGCCATGCAAAATTATGAACTTAAAAATTTACCTGCTAGGGTCCAGCGCTGCGGTGTAGTGGGTAGAGCTGCCTCCTGCATTGCTGGCATCCCATATGGGTGCAGGTTTGAGTCCTGGCTGCTCTATTTCCAATGCAACTCTCTCCTATGGCCTGAGAGAACAGTAGAAGATGGCCCAAGTCCTTGGGCCCCTGCTCCCACATGTGAGACCTAGAGGAAGCTCTTGCTCCTAGATTCAGATTGGCCCAGCTTCAGCCATTATGGCCATTTGGGGAATGAACCAGAGGGTGGAAGATATTCCCTCCCTCCCGCCCTCCCTCTCTGTCTTTCTTTGCCTCTTCCTCTGCCTTTCTG